TCGCTTAATACATATTTGATTATTCATTATGCAGAGGGAAGAGATGATCTGAATGTTAGTAATTACTTATGTGGATATTGCTTTCTGAATCATGCGATCTTTTTATCAGGGAAGATTTCATGCATCGTTTCATCTCTCTTTACCTAATTTCANAACCTCAGTTAACTAATCAACAGCAGACTTACATGCAACACCAACAGGTAGGTTATCGCTTAATACATATTTGATTATTCATTATGCAGAGGGGAGAGATGATCTGAATGTTAGTAATTACTTATGTGGGTATTGCTTTCTGAATCATGCGATCTTTAAACCCGGAAGGATTTGATGCATTGTTTCATCTCTCTTTACCTAATTTCATTTGAGATGTGACATGACTGATTGAGATGTGAGATTTGACGGAATTGGCTGCGATCATTTTGTTGATTTTAACATTAATTCTCTTGTTTTCCTTCAGCAATCATTGGTTTCTCAGCAGCCAATTTTTGGTATGGGTGGAGCTCAGCCACGCAGTCCAGCTATTGGACAACTCTCTCAAGCAGTATGAATTCTCGAAACTCCACTATTATTGATCGTATTGATTTGGTTTCAACTTAACGAGCGTGTAGTATTTCGGATGAATAATAAGTAACAAAATGATTTTTCAGATGACCCCCGGAGGTCCGCCGTCGGTGGGTGGTCCTCCGTCAAATAACCCGCAAACGCCGTTGATGAATCCGTCGTCGGTGAATCCGTCTTCGCAGCAGGCGATACCCACACCGGCAACACCTCAACAAGCACCTTCTTCAGTACATTCAACGTCCACCGTTCAAGATGGCGGCATATCGGCCACATCAAGCAATATTCCACCGGATCCAACAACGATAGCTCGAAACTTGATCATGAAAGACTTACGACACGCCATCTTCGTGAGTTTGTGTTTGTTCGACATTCCATCGTGCGTTCTGAACGTGCGCACTGATATTCTAATCTCCACTTCATTTTATCGCCGCAGGATTTGAGTCGTTCTGCAGCAGAAATTGTACGACCAAGTGCGTCACGTCAACAACTAGATGCTTCAGTGGCGTCGCATAATCCGCTCTCGGTGAATCCGCAGTCAGTGAATCCATTGTCCGTAAATCCGAGTTCCGTGAAGTCGGTAGATGAGCCGAAATCTGTGGATTCTTCAGAGCGAAAGGCCGTACTGACACCGAGAGAATCTTATAATGCGGCCATGAACAATTTTTTGGCTGTATGCGATCAAATTGAAATCAATTTGGTATGTTTGCAATGTTTTTGGCAGTTTTTGTTTTGAATCGACTTCCATTCGGAGATCATTTGCAGTTGTCACGCTTTGAATGTTTTATTACAATTCTGCTTCAGTTCACTAACATTCTTTAAGTTCAAGTTCTCATGAAGATATTCTTCACTCAATGGTATCGTTTTTCAGTTGTTAATATCGGAAGCACAAAAGCAATGTGCACGTTTCGATAAGATGTTTACGGGTGAGCTGAAGTCCGTAGGGGACATGGCCAATGCGAACTACTCGCAGTATGCAGTCGGCTATTTAGAGTCAACGAATCGTGTTCGGAACGCAATCAATCGAACGTTACATTCAGTGAATACCCAAATACAGAAAGTTCGTACGGCGCAAGCACTTAATGCTGCGTCAAATGTTAGTTAAATTGCATTTTTGTTGTTTGTGATAGTTATGGATAAATTTTTTGCTGATTGAATGTGTTTGATACATTATGAAACTGCTCGGTTGAGCACTGACTAGTTCATGATTTCCCTGATTAGAACTTATGAAAATGCAACCTTAATTTGAGATTCGTTTTGGATGTTGTTATTTTGGTATTATTTTAGAGTCGAAGCGCAGTGGATGACGAAAAAATGGAAACGGAAGGCGTCGATTCAGAAGCAATTGGTCAACAATCGCTTGGTAGTTCGATTTACTGAGCATTTATGCGTTTAACACTTATTGTGTTCGTGATATTTTTGTTGTATATGTGGGTCTGGAGGATGCAACAGAACTGATGTTATGGTTTCGTGTATGATAAAATCCACTTGATATTTTGCTATTTCCATCATGCTGGCGTTGATCGTTTACGGTTAACTGTATTTATGACGTGAATTTTGTAAAT